AGGAATCCCTCCACCCCGCAGACAGCGGAGACGACGCGTAAGGGACTCTCTGGAGATCGGGGCTCAGATTTCTCATGAGATCTGATTTGTCCCGGGGAAGTATCTTGAATATGGAGCGATCTCTTGCTTTCCTGCCTCCTCTTTGGGGGCATGTTTGGCAAGAGTGTGTGTGTGTGTGTTGGGAGAGGGTTTAGGTAGTTTTTTTCTTGCTTTCTTAGAAGTCTTTGATCTGTGCTTACCGATGGTTGTGATGGTCTGTGGAGGCACAGAAAGCCGGCAGCCTTCCTGTTTTTTTTCTTAAAACAAATAAACAAGCAAACACCCTGTTCTTTGCTTGAGGCAGCCCCGACTGTCAGTCCACTGCAGGCGAGGTAAACAGGGGAATCGGGGCTCCAGACAAGTGCTCTGTCAGTTGAGAAGTGGTTTGTGCCTTATCTTTTCTGTGGTCATACCAATGGTCCTTGTGATCGTATGTGTTTCCATGGGGAACTTCCTCCCAAACCCAAAATTCCAACTGACCAATACTCCATGTAAGGCTGGACACGGTTTGATGCTTCTCCTACTGAAGGATCAGATTCAGCACAGCATAGTTTGCAGTGAGTATTTAAATCTCCTCAAAACCTCTCAGTCTTCCATCCCTCCCTTTAAGAGCCTCAAGATGGAACTTTCCCTATAGACTTGATTGGCCTTTGTAGGTGCTCAAGCCCTGGGGGTACAGTAGAGAGGACACAGGAAGGCGGGTGGTGGAACTGTGCAGATGGGTCAGTGACCGGAGAGAAAAGCAAGCACAGAGGTGTCCAAGTCCTTTCAGGGGTCACGGTTCCTGAAGTCTGCTTTTTTTTTTTTTTTCTTTTTTTCCTCTCTCCTTTTTATAGAGCTATTTGGAAATTGCAGGTTTAGAACCCTACAGAGTTGTTGTGTCATTTTCCTTCGCATCTTTGTTTTTACATTTTTTAAGCTTGTGACTTAAAATCGGAATCGCCAGTACCTTCTGGATCACGTGCCCTGTGTTACTGCTTGACCTGAATGCTGTGCACCCTGAGAAATGGTTAATTCTACAAGGTTTCCTCTCTCTTATTGGGTCTTTTGTTGTGTAGAATAAGGGTATCATTGCTCTTTTTGTTGTAGTTAATTTTGGCAATTTATAAAATGTTGAGGCACCCGGTAATTGGCAAGTGTTCAAAACTTGTCAAAGTTCCTTTCAGGTGGAGGTGGAGTTGGGTTGAGATGTTCTAGGGAACATTAGAAATTGTAAATACTAGGATTTGAATTAAGAAGTAATGTCCTGACTACTCACTCTCCTTGGGTGTTACTTTGTTCCGATCCTAAGTAGGTTTCAGAATTCAGAGTGTAGACGAGGTCTCCGGTGTTCTAGGCTTGGGAGGGAGCGGTGCCTTACCGCAGCCAGCTTGTCAGCAGCCAGGGAATTAACGCTAAAAACCGAGCCTTGCTCCTGCGGCTCTGTGATCTAGATTCACTGCCTTTGAAACGGGGCTGCTGCGCTTAACAGGGAAGCTGTGCTGAAGGAGCTCCTCAGAGGCGCCTAGCGCATCTCAGTCAACCACAGCAGCGTCCACCACTCCTCCAGAGCGTGGCCTGTGGCCATCCAGACTTGCAAACGCTTCCTCGCCCGTTCTGACTCCCCTGTCAAGGAGTCTTGCTTGCTGCACTTTGGGCTGTCAGCTGACCACAGAGTACTGTCGGGTTTTCCTGCAGTGCCTTCCAAGCCTGTCCCATCTTCAGTCTCTGCCGTGTGGTCGTTTGCTTCTAGCCCCTCTTGGCTTTCCCGTCTCCTTTGCCCCTTCCTGAGGGTTCTCTTACCAGCAGCCTGGGTGTGTGTGTGTGTGTGTGTGTGTAAAGACTCCCCAGACTCCCTGAAGCGAGATGGGATCCTCATCAGGCCCTCGCCCTGTTTCTTAGGGTCACAGTCATGCACACCTCCCAGCGTGCCAGCCACCACCCAGCAGACCGGCCCAGGGCCGATGGCTCTTTGGGAGCACCTCCCTGAGGAGCCCCTCACCTTTGCGTGAGAGTGAACGTCCCTGAGAAGGCCACGGTTATCGTGTCTGACAGACCTGCCTTACTTCTCCCACAAGGACAATCATCCTTCTTAATCCCCACAATTCGTAATTGTGCAGCCTTTTCTTGTTTGGTCTCCCTCCCTTGCGGGTGTAGTGGCTGTGTTACACATAGAGGGCTCAGTAAACATCTGTACCGACAGCGTCTACTTTTCACGTGTGTCTGTTTGAAACAATCTCACTGCATAGTCCTGGCTGTCCCACAGCTCTCTGTGCAGACCAGGCTGGCCTTGAACTCAGGACCTGCCTGCCTGGGTGCTGAGATTACAGCTCAGGCACCACCTTCCCCAGCACGTTTATGTCTTAATGGTCCTCATTTCTGTGATATTTGTGTTTTGTGACAGAAAAGCCAAAGCAGCCCTACTGTGTTTCAATTTTGTGAATGATCTGAAACAGCCTTTAACTATCAGGTAAAAATAATACGTTTGCGGTTTTCGGAAAAGACGTAGTAATATATTGAGACACTTTTTAATTAGTGTTACCCTGGTGATACTCTGTGTACACATTCCACTTTTCTGACTATGGCATTAAAACAACTGTCTTATTAGCACAGGACTACAGAATAAAATAAGAATTCTCCTGGGCCTGTTTTACACAGTGTCACGTGGTAGTGCAACTGCTCAGTGCCAGGTGTCTAAGCGGGGTGGGGGAGAGCTGTAGGGAAAGGAGGGCAAGGTCTGAGAATGCCCAGCAGTGTGCCAGTGTGCTCAGGTGCCCGCTACCAGACAGTGGAGAAAGAGAGCAGCAGGAGCCACCTGAGGAGGCCCTTCCTTCCTCACTAAAGCCTTTTTGAGCCAGAGTCGCACAGCCTTCTGTGGCCAGGGAAACCTAAAGCATTGCTGGGTGTTTCTGTCCTAAGGCTGCTCCTCGGGAAACCCTGACTCTGCCCCGTGGCTTCTGGCTGCAGCACTCTCCCTACAAAAGCCTCTGTCTCCTCTCTCTACCTTCTCTTAGGCCAGTGCTTTTCCTCCAGCGCTGCTCCTCGCCCCTTAGAGCAGCGGTGACCAGCTTCCGTCTTGATGGAGGAGTGGAAGACTTTAGAGCTGCTGCTGACTGACCCGACTTCGCCTCACACAGCTCTGGGACCGTCTGGGCGCTCTTGGGATGGAGAGCAAGACCAGTTATGATTACAGACACCTTGAGCCCCTGCGGCTCGCCCAGCCCCACGCTGGCTCAGGAGGAAGGAGTGGTTGCCCTGGACCCAGTCATGAAAAGGATGCTTAGGTTCTCATACCTTCATGTTACTCAGAGAAACTAGCGCCTGTATTCTTCCTTCCTCCCACAGGACACAGAGCTGTGCCTCCTGTGAGGCCCTGTGCACTACCTTAGTGCTCAAGACCCAGACTTACCCGCATGAAAAAAAAAACAAAACTGTTTTTGGAGGGGGTCTGGCATGTGACTTGCTTTGGGCCGGACCTCTGTGCCCCAGGACGTTTGCATCACTGTTATTGTGGCCATGTGCCCTTGTTGGTTTGGGGTCTCTTGGGTGTACATACCGCCTGGCTACCTAGATGACCTTGAACAATTGCCTGGAGTGTCTTGGCACCGATACCATTTATTACGCTTTGTTTCCCAGCCCTAATGTCAGATGTAGGTTGATTTTAGTTGCTTTATACATTCAGGCATTGTCACCAAGCTCAACATAATTAACTTCAGAGCTGCCCAAGTTTCATGCATTGCCGTTTGCTCGGTAGCTTTAGTTTTTACTCTCTGTTTTGGGGAAAAAAATAAAAACACGTTGTAATAAGAGGGAACTTATAATCATTTTCTCCCATATGTTATCCATGTGAATGTATACATTGTCTTTCTTGTTAATTATCATTGGCTTCAGAGTGCTAAATCAAATTTATTCGTAATTAATTTTATTTTTAGAAAACCAGTTAAAATTAAATCATCCTTTCAAATATAAATATATATTCTGAAAAATTAGACTCCTTTTATTGGATAGACATTAGTCAGAAAAACAAGAATTTATTTTTACTTTTTTTTATGTAGTTGAATAGATTTACATTATATGCAGCTCTGCAAAAGAAATGGCGTTGGGGAATGTGTTAGGTTTGGTGCCTAATTCTTAGTTAAAACAGACATTTCTGCAAGATGTTCTATTATCGGATGTATTAGAATCTGTCAGGAAACAAAGTAGCTTATTTGTATTTTAGTTTCCTTATTTTTAAGTGTACAGTAACTTCTGTTACATTTATTTACTTCTTTTAAATCCTTTAACACTTTATTTATTCATTTATTTGCTTTGTGTAAATGGGGGGTCTGACGTGTGGAGGTCGGAGGACAGCTTATGGGAGCCCTTTCTCTCCTACCACGTGAGCCCTCGGCATTGAACCCAGGTCCTCAGGCTTGCTGGCAAACACCTGACTCACTGAGCCATCTTGCTAGCCTTATTTTCTTTTTTAAACAAACTTTACTGGGGTGAAATTGTCATAAACTCTCCTGCGCGTGTCCCCTGCAGTTTTGCACTTTGATGGAGGTGCGTGCCCTCCACCGCCAGCATCGGCGGCACGCCCATCTTCCTCCCAGGGCCTCTGTCTCAGAGCAGCCCTTCCCAGCCTCCAGCCTCTGCCGTCACTGTGGAAGCTGCCTGTCTAGAGTGTGGGATGGACGGAGGGATTGTTGGTTGATTCACTGCTGATGAGTGTAGCTGTGGGGCTGGGGTGTAGCTCAGTTGGTGGAGTGCTTGCCCAGCATGCACAACCCTGGCTCAGTCTCCAGCGCTGTGTAAGCTGGAAGATTAGGCATTCAAGGTCGTCCTCCATTACTTCCGAGTTCCAGGCCCCCAAACAAACAAACAAACATGCATTCCAGCTGCATACCAACTGTTCAACTGCATGCAATTTGCATATCTGTTCTTCTGTTGATAGGCTTCGGTGCCTTCTCGTACTTGAGCTTGGCTTTTTAAGAAACTGCCAAAATATTTTCTAAGCAAATTCTACCATTTTACGTTTGTCTTGCATCTGTTCTGCAGTGTTTGGCTGGCCTTGAACTGCCCCCCCCCCAGAGCTGGGGGAGGGAGGGTTCCGGTAAGCAGGTGTGCACCTGCTTCTTAGCCACGTGTGAGCACACTCCCGTCTTTCCTGCTGCGCTCGTAAGTGTTTGGGTATTCACTGGTGGTTTTCCTTGGTACCTGTCCAATGTGTGGTGTCGACCGTCTCCACACTTATGTTTATTTTATTTTCCATCTGTGGGTGTTTCCTTGCGCATCCAGCCTGGTGCTGCCTGAGGTCAGGGGAGGGGGTTGGCTCCCTGAGACTGGAGCTACGCCTGGTTTTAAGACACCCTGTGGGTGCTGGGAACTTTACCAGGTCCTCGGTGAGAGTGGAAAGTAATCTTAACTGCTGAGCCATCTTTCCTGGCCTGAGCACATTCGTACTAGGTTTACGATTGAATTCAGAGAGGATTTGTGTACCTGGTAGCTTTCAACAGTCTGCAGCCTGCCTTTCCTCTCGGCACGGGAGCGTTTGAAGAGTGAGAGCGTCACGCTCCAGTGAAATCTAACCTATGGACTTTTTCTTTTATTGGTGGTTGTGCTTCTGTAATGTATTACTCAAGACATCTTTGTTAACCAAAAGTCATAACTATATTTTTATGTGTTTTTTTCTAAACGTTTTACAGCACTAGGTTTTTAGATTTAGAACTGTAATCTGTTCGGAGCAATTTTCATACAGTGTGCATTGTGGGTCTAGGTTCGTTTTCTACATACAGAAATTCAGCTGTTCTAACAGTGTTTAGTAAGGATGTTTCTGGTCTGACAAACTTTCTTTGCCCCGTCTCTAAAATCAGTTGTCTGTTAGTGGCTAGTCATAGCTGAATGAAGTCAGGTGACTCCAGTTCTTGATAATGTGTTTGGTCTCTTTACTGTGACCTCCCCTTCTCAGAGCTTCCTTTATTTTATTTTATTTTATTTTATTTTTTATTTTATTTTTAAATTTTTGTTACATGAGAAGGCCTGTTGTCATAGGATGGCCACACCAGCTCACACACTTGCTGGTTCTTGTCAGTGAGAGTTGTGCACTGTTTCTCGGTTTTTCTGTCCTAAATTGTTGCCTTCATTTGACTTTTTACTTTCATCTTTCCTTTCTTCTGTAGTTGACTGAGTAATAGCTCAAGCAGGTGCTAGAGAAATTGTCCAGTTGGTCTGGAAGCCCAGCACAGAGGTAGAGAGATGGCCCAGCTTCCAGGGAGCTCCGTGGGCTCCCAGAGGACCTGAGCAAGACCTTTTCTCTGATCCAGCCCTGCCTGCCCATCATGGGCCGTTCTTCAGGCTCAGCCCATCACATTCCTGTGTGCTGAATAGCTGCAGCAGGACCTGGTTGAGGTGTCGTTTGCAGGGATTGCTGTTTGCTCACTTGAATAGAAGTTCTGCCTTCTTCTGTGCATTGCCAGGCTGGCTGAGTGGCTCCGAGCAGGAGTGCCCAGTCCCCCGGGAGCTAGTCGTCCTTCTGTGCCACATGCAAGCCTGCTTCTCAGATGCCTTTGTATAGTGATTTGGAAGTTCTGCATGTCACACAGGTGCACTTCTGAGGGGCTCTTCTTGGCTCATTTGTTGGTGAGTTCAAAGCGGCTAAGCAGGCTGGAAGGCCGCGGTCCCCTGCTGCAGTTCAAGGAGTGTCAGTAGGCCCTTTGAAGCTTCACTGGCAGTGATGCCCTTGCTGTGGGTGTTCTGCAGGCTACCCTTTTCCAAAGCGGAGCAGCTTTGTCTGCATGGAAGTCTCTTGAGGACAGAGGCTTCTTCATCATTGTTTTGTGGCTTTGCGGAGCCCCTCAGCAGTCCCTGATGTCCAGGGTCACTCCTGGCCTGCTGCGTTTCAGGGCTTTGGCATGTTCATCTGTGGCCAGCCTTTCTCTTCCCAGGCAGTTTCCTGGCCCTGAACTTACTTCATCACCCAACACGTTCCAAATGAAAGCATTTCCGAGTGTGTCCTTTTGTGCCCTGGTTTACCATTGCTGGTCCTGGAAGGGTCACTTACACCTTCTTAACTTCGAGAGGAGAGGAGAGGCGACTGAGAGGAGAAAAAGAACAAAATATGTTTCACCACTCAGCTGCTTCTATTTTTTTGTCTCTGTATCATGCGCCTGTGTTAGCATCGAGCCATATTGTGACTTTTCATGGTCAGAGACGGTGGGGCAGCAGCATTTGTAAACGTGTCAAAACAATGCTTTAAATGCAGCAGGCTCATCCCTAGGATAGTGAGCACGAAGGCCCCAGAGCTGTCCATTCTCAGTGGCGTCTGCTCTGCCTGCAGCTGAGAGGCAGCTCAGGAGTGCGGCTCCAGGTCTGCTCCAGGCTGTCCTCCCTGCTGGGAGGTCCTGGGCCCTCGAGAAAGTAGCACCCAGCTGCACATGTGCCAGGAACGCATGCCAGTGGCCAGCAGCTGTTGGCCCTCACCAGGTTCTTGCTCTGTGAATTCACTGTCCTGACTCAGGCAGAACATGCAGCAAGCCTCAGGTCAAGAAGCAGGATGTCCTGGGCCTGAGCATAACCCTGGGTGCGGCTTCCAGCAGGCTCCGTTGTCTCCACCGCTTCTCTTATAGCAGAATCTTACTGTACTCCTGAGTGCCTGGCCACTCGGGGTCAGGTGACTCACTGGCCTGTATAATTATAGATTGCACATTCATGTTATTGCTGTTAATCCCGTTCCTTTATTGTCTGTTCCATTTTTTTTTTCTGTAGTGAATGTGTCTTCTATAATTGAAGAAAGATACTGTTTGTGGGATTGCTGTATTGGTTGGTTGATTGTGTTTATTTTTGTGTACTTGGGACCGAACCTAGGGCCTCATGAATGGTAACCGTGCTCCACCACCCAGCTGAATGCCCAGCCCAGCACTGTCTCTCCATAGAGACCAAGGCAAGTTTATACATGCTTGGAGTCGGTTGCCAATTAGACTAGACCGCGGGGCATACGGAAGGGAACCGCAGAAACCGTCGGGGCTACACAGAGGCAGTGGCCTGTGGGCCAGGGCTGCCGGGGTCAGAGGACAGGATTCGCTGCGTTGGCGTACTCTGTCATGGGACTGCCCCTTTGGTCTCCAGATTCGCTTATTCCTGGGTGGCTTAAGTGCAGTGTTATCTTCCAAGGGTGAGGGATAATCTGCCCGCAGTGAGGCCTGAACTTCACTGGAAAGTCAGTGTTGCTGCTGGAGGGTCGGGTGGCCTGTCAGGACCTGAGTGATTCACAGGCCTCCTCAGGATCCATGCTGACGTCCTACACGTCACACATGCACATGCACACGCACATATATGCCTGTTCAGTCTGTGCTGATGTCACACACAGGCACACACACACCACCCAAGGAGGGTGTGAGGAGGTGACATTAGGAGGTGATCAGGTTATGAAGGTGGATCCCTTATGTCTTGCAAGAGAATTCACTATTCCTCAGTAGTGTGAGGAGAGCACAGGAGGACCCGTGAGCCAGGGAGCCACGTCTGACTGACCTGCGGGCGTACCTCCAGAACCATGAGAATGTAACCGTCTGTGATTTAGAAGCCAGCAGCCCAGTGTCTTCCCTCCCGTAGGAGCACGTGGGGACCAAACAGAACTCACTTCTATTTGCTCAGCTTCTGAATGAGGGTGAGGAAAGGCGGCATCTGGAAGTGAGACCATATGTGACAAGGTCCTCATTTGAATAAAACCAAAAATGTGTAAGTAGCCCCTGAGCCGTCAGCAAGCTTGGGGGTCAGGGTTGGCGCTCCTGACGAGCATCGCTGCCAACGTGCCCCATGCTCCCCAGATTCTCTGTTTATGTGGGCCACTTTTAAACTATTTTGCCCTGATGGTACAAGGGGGAAGGTGAGCAACAGAAATGGGGGAGAGGGGAGCCCAGCTGTGAGGTGCCTGAAGAGCAGTGCCTGTGGGAGGAAGTCTGACTGGATACGTGGGGTCCTGTGGCGATCATCTGCTCTGAAGCGCTTTCCCTAGAAGGGAGGCCTGAAGTTGAGATGTTCCCCGAAGAGTCTGTAAGACACCTTTCTACAGTTGTACTTCCTAAGGACAGCACTGAGCTAGAAGACAGTCCTGGAGGACTTACTTCTGAAGCCACCCTCACTTCCCTCGTGTGAAGCCCATGGATGCAGAACTCATGACTTCTCTCCCAGCACAGCTACTTGAGAGCTTTCTTACTGAGGGCTGGCCGGGTCCCACACTGGCTGCCTCTGCCGGACAGTGCAGGTGAGCTCAGGGACAAGCCCTTAAAGGTGTGCCCTCCCTGGTGGTGGCTGGGCAGTGCCGCAGCTCGTCACGGGCCTTGCAGTGTCTCTGACTGCTGTGAAAAGCCATCTCATCTCCCAGGTGCTCTGCTGGGGGAGAGGCCAGGCATCTTCCGAGCCGGGACTCAATGCTTTAGAAAGATAAGAGAGCCTGGGGAGCTTTAGAGTTCCCTCCTAAGTTTAAAAGGAAAGGCCTCACTCAAGCTGGGCCTGATGGGAGAAAAGCCATTTCTGGGTGGAATCAGCAAGTCCAGTGGGCCGGGAGGCACAGGCTTACAGACCATGGTCCCTGGAAGGCTTCAAGCGGCTGTGGCCTTCTGGTTCCATGTGCCCAGGGGCCTGAGAAAGTGGAGGGCACAGGGCAAGGCGTGATAGGCCAGCCTGTGGTAAAGGAGAGCGTCTCAGCCTTGTTTATCTTTTGTTTGCCAGCAGGTTATTGGTGAGAATCACAGGGTGTCCTGGTCCTTCCTAGCATTGTTTTAAACTAGATTTCTGCTTATTCAGGTTGTGCCCTGAGAAGTATGGAGACTGGATTAGAGTTTGCCTGGTATCAGAGCCTTGCTCAGTGTTACAACACAGTACCTAAGCTTAGCTTGTTTGCCTTTACTTCAGGCACGTTTATGGTGCACATTGTGGTGAGGAAGCTGTGTTGTAGTCCTCGGCTTGACAGAGAGAAGGGCCTCTGCGTCTCAGAAAGCTTGCCGGTTAGCACAAACTGAACCTTAAACAAAATGTCCTCGGCTGAACTGCTGTTGTACACACATCAGTAATTCCGTTACTCAGGAGGCTGAGCCCCGGCGGGGGGGGGGGGGTAGTGCTGCTCTGTGCTTGCCAGCCTGGACTGGGCAGTGTGTTTATGTCCACCCTGGGCTATCAGGTAAGACTACCCCAAGAAGAAGGCGTGGGCTGGGGTGATGCTCAGTGGTAAAACACTGGCTTAGGTGGCCGTGCAAGGCCCTGGTTCAGTTCCACAGAGTAAAAAACCTACTCCGGTAACGTTACTTACAAGCTTAAGAAGTCAGCACACACCAAAAACCAAAGTTGTAAGCAGAGCAGGAACGTAAAGTAGGCAGGGTGTAAAGGTAGGTGTGCTGGGGGGCTGGGAAAGCCCATTGCAGCCTGAGGTAGAGGCTGGCCCGGGATGCAGCCTGCCTCCTCCTCCTCGAGGACATGGAAGAGGCTGAGCCTGTCTCTAATCTCATCTCCAGTGCTTATCTCTGAAGTGTCCTGTCACTTCCGCTTTCTGAACTTCCCTGGTAATCGCCCAGGATGGTTAAAAATCAACTCAGATCCCAGCAGTGAAGGCTCATGCCTGTAACCTCAGCCCTCGGGAGACAGAGGCAGACGGATCTCTGTGAGCTCAAGGCCAGCCTGGTCTACAAAGTGAGTCCAGGACAGCCAGGACACAGAGAAACACTATCTCGAAAAAAGATCACCTTAAATGTGGACACAGACTGCAGATGTGGAGAAACTTAGCAGGGTCTCAGAGTGTGGGGTGACGGTGTGACCAGACCTTAAATGTGGACACAGAGTGCACATGTGGAGGAACTTAGGAGGTAGCGTAGCAGGGTCTCAGAGTGTGGGGTGATGATGTGAGCAGACCTTCTGGGTGTCCTGAGGTGTGTGGGCTGTGTTCCAAGGCAGGGGCTTCTAGGAACAAAGCTCTGGTTTCCTCCTCGGCCCAGGCTGTCTCTGCTCCCTCGCCCCTGTGGTGGGTGGCCATGCTGTCAGCTCGGTCCCTTCTGGTGGTGCACTCCAGGAAGGTCCCTGGCCTTGCAGTGGTCAGCAGGAGAGCTGTGAACTCCAGAGGCGGCCTGTTTCCCTGTTCCTCATGCCCCGAGCTAGGCTCTCCAGCACCCTAGCTCTTCACCCACACTTGTGCCTGCACCTCATTTGGCTCTTCCACTGCCAATAATCAATCAGATCTGCCCATTTATAGTTAGGGAAATAGCTCAGAGCTGAAGTGACCAGCCCATAGCCACCTTCAGCGTTGGCGACAAGATGGAGAGGCCTTTTCTTTCTGGCTGTGCTTGATCAGGGTCCTTCTGCTGTGAGAGGTCCTTCCTCAGGGCGGGCGAGTCTCGGTTCCCCCCAGGGAACAGCAGGGCAGCTCTGATCCTGGGCCTCGGTGAGCTGTTGGCATGGGTTCACTCCTGCTGGACCTCGCTTAAGTGTCTTGAAAGGGCTGCAGTTATGGCCACACCTGGATGGCAGCTCCCCAGAGGAGCCTCCTCTTGCTGTTTACCTTCCCTCCGCTGGGAGAGCCTAAGTTCTTAGTAATTCTCTGTCGTTCAGCTGGCCATCTGACTTTATTTTCTGGAAAATAAGGCAGGACAGCTGCGGCTCATGTTGGTGTCCCGTTTATCTTGCAGAATGCTGTTCCACTGAACAGTAGCTAACGAGTTAGGTGTGTTGTCTTAGTGAATTTAATTGACAGTGTGACTTGCCAACTTAAGTCCACAAGTGAAAATATTTCTGTGACAAAAAAAGGAAACTCTTGCTTTACAGACATTTCCTGCTCACATCAGAAGTTACACAGTTGGCCTGTCAGGGATTGTCTGGAGAGCAGCTGGCGTGCAGGCTGACCTGACAGGAGCGCTGGCCTCTGGGAGCCCCGGGGTCAGGTGAGTGTCAACATCTAAAGTCCAGAAGGACTTTAAATAAAGCCAGGGCTCAGCTCTGTGGAGGTGTGGCACTCTGGTGGCAGTGCTGACATGGTCCCAGTTCCCCTTCAGTCTGGAGACCTGGGGGTCACAGGTGCAGTAAATGGTGTAGCTGTTGCTGGGGCTGTAAGGAAGGGTGTTTGTTTCTTTGTTTGTTGAGCCAGAGTTGCTCTGTGTAGCCCTGGCTGTCCTGGAATTCACTCTGTAGACCAGGCTGGCCTCGAACTCACAGATATCTGCCTGCCTCTGCCTACTGAGTGCTGGGATTAAAGATGTGCTCTACCACTGCCCAGTGCAAGGAAGGGTTTTATGGCTAGTAGGACACCAGTGCTGGGGAGAGAAAGAATCCATTAGAGCATCATGCTGTTTAACCAAGGCACATTTGAGAGACCAGGAGGGAGAAAGGTGTCTGAAGTTCTAGACGGGGATTCCCTAGAAAATGGGTAGGAACACAGATGACAAGGTTGGCCGGCAGTGAAGAGCGGCCCAGCCGTTCTTCCGAGCATGTACTCAGCTTTGTCTGTGGCAGCTGAGGAGCAACAGGCGTGCCCTGGAGCACGTGAGTGAGAAGAGAATCTGACAGAAAGGAGCTCTCCCAGCCGCAGCTAGGAGGAAAACCACAAAGAGAACCAGTGCCTCCCTAGAAACGGAGAAGCACTTAGGAGCACCAACACAGCCAGAGGAGCCGGAGGAAACCACCTCTGTGGCCTGAGAAGTATGGAGCTGTGATGACCTTCCCAGGACAACTGGAGAGTAGAAGTAATGGAGACTTTTTATTTTAAAGTCACTTGTATTTTATTTATTTATGGGTGTGTATGTGTGCGTGTGCACGATTGTGTATGCACGTGTGTACATGCTTATGTATGTGTGTGTGTGCATGTTTGTGTGTGTGTGTGCGCACGTGTGTGCAGGCGCCCACAGAAGAGGCCATCTTATCCCTTGGAGCTGGAGTTAGAGGTATTTGGTGTGAGTCAGCATCAGTGCTGAGCTCTATCTCAGTACTCCCGATTGCGCTGTGGGTGTTCGTAACCAGAGTCCTCTCCCAGGCCCCGGATTGTTTTCTTCAATAAGCCGTCATTTTATTTATAATGCCATGGGAATGCATAGTGTGCCAGGTGCTGGGCACAGTAGAGATGAAGTCACAACTGCGTCTGTAAAATCAGACCCACAGTAATTTGCCCGAGCCTATGGTGGTAGGAGGAGGTGGGGCGGAGCGGGGTTCTAACTCCTGGGGAGCTCATCACTGTTGGTTTTACACGCTGCTCCACACTGCAGCTTCTCTGCTACAAAGCCTGGGTGCCTAGTGTTCTGGGTACCCTCCCTGGAGACAGTTGATGTGTGAGTACGTAGCAGGCAGGCAGGACTGGAGACCGTTTTAGTGGGAGGCAGAAAGAGGAATTAGGAACATTCTCTTGGAAAGAGTGAGCCTCTGCTACGCTTCACAGTGAAAAAGCAAGCTGAGGCATTAAGAAGTTCAGGTGTGAAATCTGGAACTTCAGACTTCGGTACTTTGTATTTTCATCATTTTTTTGAAGAAAATAGAATGTGTCCTGACAGACCCCAGCGGGCTCACGTTGAAGAGATTCTTGAGATGGCCGTGGCCTGCCGCTCGGCTGCCAGACCGTGTGTTAGAACCTGTACTCACAGGCTGTACTGAGGAAAAGGCATGACGCAGCGTGGCTGTTGTCTTCAGCCCGCAGGACAGTTATTTAAAAGTTAATGCTGTGACTGGCCGGAGTGGGGCAGCCAAGCCCGCCCTATCGTCCCCTGAGCCTTCCAGATGGAGGCTGCAGGGAGCTGGGCCCTCAGTGTCCCTCAGGTGGCTGCTCTCCCAGAGGCCCTGAGTCCTATGGGGAAGATCTGTCACAGGGTCTCTAAAGGCAAGCTAGTCAGAACAGCATTGAGCAGTCTGGATCCCACAAAACAAAGTTTGCCTGTGTTTTGTCGTGGCATTGATCCTTAGGTTTGTCGGCTTAAGTGGCAGAACCTCGAGCTGATGGCTATGAACTGTGCCAGGTTGTGCAGGAACCTTTTTCTTACACCCTCACAGCTCTGCAGGCCTACCTGGCTGGGGAACGCTTTTTACACTACCGACTGTTGACGGAGCACCTGGTGGGAAGAACTGGTGTGGGGGCTCAGTCTGGCCTCCTGAGGAGCAGCAGGCTGTGTGCAGGGCACCCCTGTTGTCTGTGAGGTGGGCCCTCCATCCTGACGGTGATGGCGTGGCTTCACTCTGTAATGTGTGTGGGCCTGAGTTGCAGGTCGCTTTCTCGTTGAGGTGTTGTGAGGCAGATGGGCTGGAGGACCCTCCTTGTAAATCCCTCTCTGAGCCAGAGGCAACCCTCAGGACAGCCTGGCCTTCCCTGCATGAGCTCTGCTGTTGCTGCTGGCACTGTTTGAGCCATGACTACTTTGGAGGTGTGATTTTCACAGCCATCCTGTTAACTTTAGCGTATGATTATGTCCCTGGATTTCATCTCTGATACAGCAAGCCTAGTCTCAAGGATGTACACTAAATCTTTGTTAGCATCACTTTCTGAGACAGGATCTCTTTATGCAGCCTTGGTTGTCCTAGAACTCAACTCTGTAGACCAGGCTGGCTTTGAACTCAGAGCATCGCCTGCCTCTGCCTCAGAGTGCTGGGGTTAAAGGTGTATGCTGCAACACCTGGCTGAACCCTGGTTTTGAAAAACATGAGTGCTGGCGAATACTTTTATTGTCTGAAACTGAAAGTAGCTTGCACCGCTTTGTAGAGGCATTCGCTGTGTTGGAGGGGAAGAATTGTCTTCTAAAATGACAAGCTCGACCTTGGAGTAAAAATAGAGAAAGCAGGAGAAGCAGTTTGGGGTGGAAGTGTTTGGGGAGGCACTCCTCTGTGGCTGCGATAAATCCACAACCAAAGCAGCTGCAGGAAGACGGGCTTATTAGGGCTTGTAGGTCCAGAAGGCTGGGGTCCGGAACAGTGTGGAGGGCCGGAGCCACTGAGCACAGTCTCTATACAGGGGGAGCAGAGACAGAGGGAAGCGGGCCCCGCCAGGAGGGCTGTGCCCCTTAAAAGTCCCATAACCTCAGAGAGCACCACCAGCTGGGGACCATGATTTCAAATACTGGTCCTTACCAGGAAGTGAGGGACATCTCCCGCCGAGGGATCATTTCATCAGTAGGTGAATCAGACACAGAGCACTTTGTCGCTTGCCACAGAGGAGCTATGGCAGCTTTCTCCTGAGCCTGTAGACAGCCCAGCGTTGCAGATACCATCATATGCTTTTGGAGAGCTGAAGCAGCACAGCAAAACTGACCCCAAATACTGTAATTCCAGAGAGGACCTAATGAATGAACCTTCCTTCATTCAGGCGCTGTGACTATGATAAGGTTTCAGAAACAGCTCCACTACAGATTCTTGGCTTTTAGATGCCATTAAACCTACGGATACTCGGCTCTTCTAGCTGATGGCTGTGTTGAGCATGCTTTCTTACCGCTGTGCAGCCAGGTTAGGGAACTAGTTGTTTGTAGCCCACAGCCTACAGGAATTTTGTGTTCATCACTGGGGTATCTTTTATGTCCTTCCTTCATTTTTATCTCGTTTCACGTACACTAGTCTCCATGTGAGCCGTGATGGCAAGGGGGAGGGGGCGTGTCTCACACTTGCAAGGCATGTGCCTTCTGCCCACCTCCACTCCCCGCTCCCCTTCCCTTCGAGACTGCTTAGAAGATGAGCCCTTCTGTGTTCGCAGCTTCCTTCTGAGCTTTTAAGTTCACATTCTTAGGCCAGTAGGGAACTACCTGGAAGAGCATGAAGCAACTTTTGGCTCCCTCGGTGGCCGTCTTGGGTTTCTCCTAAGGAAGGCCCTCTGAGCAGATGGTTGGTCCACACAGGGAGGGAGAGGAGGTTAGTCACGGTGTCTCTGGCACTGGGGGACATTTCTTCTTCTTTTCTTTATTTGAAAGTAGTCCACCTGCACCAGCGGTCTCTGCTTATGAGGGAAGAAGAGAGGTTTCTGTCTTGGCACCTACCATGCCTTAACACGCGCGCGCGCGCACACACACACACACACACACACACACACACACACACACTTCAGGAAATGATATGTCAGGCCTCCTCTCTCGGCCCTTAGGAGTTGGAGCTGTCCAGACTCTGTGTGAGGTGCCAGGCTGATGGAGAATCGGGCTCCTTGGTGCAGAAGAGGGGTGGGCATAAGGCCCAGTGCAGGGCGCAGCCCTTGGGGTGCTCGGAGGAGCTCATGCCCTCACCGTGGCCCGCCTCATTAAGAATGCTTTGGCTCCCCATTGCAAGGCACTGCTCCTCAGCTCAATTTGTGCCCAGCACCTCCATCAGAGCTGTGCTGTGACAGGACAGCTGGGGTCCCCTCAGTGCCCGCCTGGCTCCTCATTTGTCCTGGTTCTCCGTCTGCTCATAGCCCATCAGGTTAGTGTTTGCTCACAAACTCTGGGCCAGCCATGTGCTATTTGTTTTCCTTTTTGTTTGTTTTGTTTTGACGCCCTCTGGCTCATACCATAGATGGCTGTGCTATTCTATTCCCAGGGCCCTTTAAAAAAACAAACAGAACAACAACAAGAAATCATTTAACTCTTTACGTCCCATTATCACACTAGATGTGTGTTCTGTACTTTAAAAAAAAAAAAAAAAACAACATTTTCTACTCGTGTAGTTATGTTTATTTTTCAATCTCTATTACTTGTTGGCATATGTTTCCCTCCCTCAGACTGGGGTCGTAACTCTTTCAGAAAATCTGGGTAAAGACTGATCTAGCTGGAAGCTGGTCTTGTGAAAGCACCATGGTGCAGGATATTGAAACAGAGCCTAGGGAAGAGACCCTGACTAAATACTGACCTTCAGCTTAACTTTGTGAAACTCCATTTGGATGGGTTTGAGCGTAGTCGGCGCTAAGCTCTTTTAAAATAGCTAACTACATTCTGTTGTTGGCTTCGGACATGCT